ACTAAGGAATGCTGAGAGCAGGGGAACGATCAGGAGAAGAACATATCAGTTGGTCAGCCCTGAAAACAAAAATACATATGTACAAGTAACATTATACACACTGAGCAGGTTATACCTAAATATTTAGGAATGTAAATAATGCATATATATACATATAATTTGCTTATATATTTTGATACTCTGTCTCAAAAAAAAGCTGACAAATTTTAACATCCTTCTTTCTTGATTTAAAAAAGAAAATAAAAATGTCCTCAATGTGACCTAGGGCAACACAAGGTTGACAGTATATGCAATAATGAAAGACTGAGAGTTTCTCTGCTAAGAGGAGAAACAAAATAAGAATGTCCACTTTCACCATCTTATACAATATGTATTAAGAGTTCCAGCCAAAGAAAATAGTCCAAAAATTGAACTAAAATAATACAGATCAGAAAAAAGTGACATCTCTGCTTACAAACAACATGTTCTTACATCATGAAATAGCATGATGATCACATGTATCCTCAGACACACAGGCATGAAAAAGCAAAGAAGTAAAAAAAATGGGCATGAAAACTAGAGCTGCAATAAACTAATAAATAAACAGAAAAATGTCTGAGCTGTTTGTGGATAGAAGACTAATAGTGTCATGAAGGTTCTTTAGTTATTTACCCTCTTGCTATGATTAAAACACCCTGGTAGAGAAAGGATAAAAGGGCTCATTCTGGGTCACAGTAGCATCACAGTCAAGAAGCAGAGGATGATGGATGCTTGAGCTCAGCTCACTTGCTCTGTTTCCCACAGGGCAGGGTCCCAGCCTAGGGAATGGTGCTGCCTTCTGCGGCCAGGCTTCCCACCTCCATTAACCCAGGCAAGACAATCCCTCACAGGCATGCCCAGAGGCCTTCAAGCTGATGACTTAGATCAACCATCAGAGATAGCAATACTGTAATTTAGATCTGCACTGAGCCCCCAAAAGCCTCTGGGTCCCTTCCTATTGCTGTTGGAATGTTGTGGAAAATTTAAAAGGTAGATACAATGGAAGATACAATGGTCATGTCTTCAGAGAGAATTTAGGACTCTGGCCTTTTCCTATTCCTTTCTCATTTTTACTTCCTGGTCATAAGTTTGAACTGTTTCTTCCATCATGACCTCCCGGCCACAACACACTGTCTCCACCGAGGTCTAAAACTGATCATGGATTGAAATCCTCAAAACTGGGAGCCCAAATAAACCTTTTCTTTTTTTAAGTTGAGTCCTCAAAACATTTTGTTACAGTGATGGATTGCCAACTGACACAGGAAACACATAGTAAAGTCAAATAAGACAGAGGAGTGCCCTTCGGCATCATTAGGGGTTGAGGTGTAATCGGAATAAGAAGTAGGACTGACTCAATTCTGCAGTCTTTACTGAGGGTCATGTTGGACTGAGAAAAGGGCCATTAGATGGAAAATCAACAACTTCAACCCTGCTTTTAAAAAAGCAAGAAGCAAGCAAGCAAGCAAACAGACAAACGTGAACGTCACCCTAAAAGCTCCAAGGGCATCCGACAAGTGTCTGATTTGCAACTGAGTAGATAAGAAGGCAGAGGAAGGGAAAGTGGTCTTCAGACCTCATGTCCACAAGTGAAGTATGAGTCATGTCGCCAAGGTTCTAAGAGTCCTGAATGTGCTGCTCACCAGTAAAGACCCAGTTAAAAGTGCTGGGTGGGGCACTTTAATCCCAGGACGTGGGAGGCAGAGGCAGATGAATCTCTGTGAGTTCGAGGTCAGCCTTGTTTCAGAGAGAGCTCCAGGACAGCCAGGGCGGTTACACAGAGAAACAAAACAAAAACAAGGGGAAAAGGTGCTGGGTGGACTGGGGTTTGGCTCAATGGGTAGTGCTTGCCTGGCTTGTAGGAGGCCCTGGTTTCTATCCTCAGCACATAAACTGGCATAGTGCCTGGACTTCCAGTTCTCAGCTGGAGGTCTGGAGTCAGGAGTTCAAAGTCACTCTTGGCCACATAGGGATTTCAAAGCTAGGGTGGGTTATCAATAAAACTGCAAGCTAGAGACAGCTCTGGTACAGCTTGGGGTGGTGCCACCAAGGACTTCAAGGACCACACAGCTCTGCTCTGTAGCATAGCTACCCCTTGGGGCACTCAGTTAAAACCTCCAGGCTAATATGTCAAGTGTTATCTTTTGTGAGAATTCTCTCTTCCTTCCTTCCTTCCTTCCTTCCTTCCTTCCTTCCTTCCTTCCTTCCTTCCTTCCTTCCTCCTTTCTCCTTCCTTTTCTTCTCCTTCTTCTTTTTGTCTGTATGTCAATTTGTTTGGGTTCTTGAGACAGGGTCTCACTATGTAGCTCTGCCTGTCCTGGAATTCACTATGTAGACCAGGCTAGCCTCAAATCACAGAGATCTTCCGGCTTGAGTGCTGGGATTAAAGGCGGGCACCACTGTGCCTGGCCTTCTCTCCATTTCTCGAAGCCACTCACATATTCGTTGGGAATTTCTCACCTCTGTCTTGTGCTAAATAGATAATTACTAGCCCTGGGATATGCGGGAGATGACTGCACATCACTAGGGAAACAGCTGAACGAGGCCTTGCTGATGTCTAAGCCTTCCCAATGCTGGGACCTGTGAGGGCTCTTTGTGCAGGTGTCTGGTGTGTGAAGCAAGCAGGGCACTGGCTGTGAAGTCAGGCTTGGGTTGGAATCTCATGTCAGCTATTGATCAGAAAGACATACTGGTGCGGGAGAATTCTGTATTCTGTCAATCATGTTTTAAATAAATGCTATTGGCCAGGCAGGAAGTATAGGTGGGAAAACCCAGACAGGAAGTAGAAATGATGCAATGAGAACAGGAGAATTCTGGGAAGGAGGAAGTTGATTCCTCTTACTCCTGCCCAGACTCTGAAGAAGCAAGATGTGAGCTACCCTGCTGAGAAAGGTACCAAACCATGTGGTTAACATAGATAAGAACAATGGGTTAATATAAGCTACAAGAGCTAATAAATATCCTGAGCTAATGGGCCAATCAGCTTTATAACTTATAGAGATCTCTGTGTGATTTTCTTTGGGGCTAAACAGCTGTGGGGAACTGGGTGGGACAGAAACCCCAACAAGCAGGCCCCCTCATGTTACAACAAACTTAATATCTCTGTAAAAGGTGGAGATTCAAAAGGTTCATCTCAAAAGAGGAAGAAGGCAGGGAAATAATGTCATCCTACGATATGGCCTCTTGGAAGAATTGAGGCAACAGTCACTCTGTCTTCCTGTAGAAAGAAGGTAGATTGGGCAAACACCTCGGCATTGGAGACTTCACTTCCTTTCAAGAATTTAAGCTGCATGGTGGCAATGCACACCTTGAATCCCAGTGTTCTAGAGGCAGAGGCAGGTGGATCTCTGAGTTTAAGGCCAGCTCTACAGAGCAAGTTTCAGGATGGCCAGGGCTACACAAAGGAACCTTGTCTCAAAAACAACTGAGACAAACAAATGAAAAAGAATTTAAGAATGGACTGGCAGGATGGCTACGTGGATGAAGATGCTTGCTGCCAAGCCTGACAACCTGACTTACACCAGAACACACATAGCGCAAGGAGACACGAATCCCACAGTTGGTCCTGATTTCCATATTCATACCTTGGCATGTGCCCCTCCCCCAAATAAATAATAATAATAATAAATAAATAAATAAATAAATAAATAAATAAATGTAAAAGGGGGGGTGAGTCTAAGAACTGAATGATACACGATAACTAAAAATTAAAAAGAACTTAAGAATAAGCCCGGGGCAAGGTCCTGGCTAGAAAGAAAACCCCAGACAAATCTAAACTTAGCAGCTGTTAATTAGCAACTTGGCCTGGGTGTTTATTGTGTTTAGGTTTAATTTTCGTGGTAAAGAGAAACACAAATGGTTTCATGACATCACCTTCTAAGAATTGCTGTCCCGCTAGACTCAGATGAAAGAGACACTTGTTTGTTTTTCTAACTCTAGTTCTGCTATCTTCCTTGCCCTGCTCCTAGGGAGTGTTGGCTCCTCCTACTCTCCATCATTAGCCAGCTGCGCTGGGAGACAAGATTCCTATCAGCAACTTGTCAGCCCAGAAGAGAAAGAAAAAAAAATGAAGAAAACACTATGTCCTCCTCTCCTTTATTTATTTATTTATTTATTTATTTATTTTAGATGAGGTCTCATGTAGCCCAGGCTGGACTCACTGTGAATGACTTTGACCCTCCTCCTTCTTCACCTGTTGAACGCTGGGATTATAGTGCCTGCTTTTATGCAATGGTGAGAATCGAACCCAGGGACCTCCCTGCTAGGCAACTGTACGCAGGAGCTCCACCCCTGCTTGCTACCAGGTCACCTTAGCTCTGTGAAAAGGCTTTTGTTGTTGCTCTGGCCTTGGAGCAAAGCCAGGGCTGTGAGCGTTTACACAAGAGTTCTACCACTAAGCTGCATCCCAGCCCCCCAAACACCTCTACCAGCCGACACATCTTGTTACAAAGGTATTTTAGGACAGTGACGCTCAGCCCTGATTTTGAGGCCATGTGAATTAGTAAATTTTGGTGAAACTGTTTTTTAACAACAATAAAAAAATAATCTACTGACATCGAGGGTAAAATGGATACTTTTATGTATAGCTGAATTAGATGTGTCCACAGAGAAGCTTAGCACAGAGTAATGGCACAGTGGTCAGAGTGGGATAGACAACATGAGCTGTCACAGAAACTTGGAAGTCCTTACCCGCTGAACAGATCTGCTCCTGAGTATGGGGTATGGGGGCAGGGAGGGCGGGGCAAAGCATGCATGGAATCATAACGAGATGATTCTGTGTAACAACAGAGCAAAATAGGAAATCTTCAAAAGGCACAAAACATCCCAAAGAGAACTTTGGCAAACTCTGGCCATGACAAGCTTTTGTGGTAAGAGACTGTAGCTTTTCTTTTATTCCAAAATTCATGCTATTTTCAGGTTTTTCACCAAGATTGTGTTGTGTAGCTTTTCTAAGAAGCATGATAATAATAATAATAATAATAGAAGAAGAAGAAGAAGAAAGAGGAAGAAGCAATAACCATCTTTTTACATTTATTTATCGTGTGTGTGTGTGTGTGTGTGTGTGTGTGTGTGTGTGTGTAGCCACAGGCTCATGACAAGGCACACCTGTGGCAGGATTCAGTCTTCTCCTTCCAAATGCGGACCCTGGGGATCAAGCATCTTTTACCCACTAAGCCGTCGTCTCCTGGGCCTAATAACCACATTTTAGATAAGGAGGTAAACAAACCCACGATACCATATGCGATCTGGGTTTGGAAGCATGCTGTCAATGGGATGCACAGGATCCACACACGGTGGATCTCCTAGTTCCAGAAGAATGACCTGGGGAGCAGTCTTATGGCGATCCCCTCACAAGTTCACTGGATTTCTAGGGAGCCTGAAAGCAGCCAGAGAGCCGGAGTCCCTCTCCAGCAGACAGTGGCTGCAATGCTCTCTCATCCCTGGTGTCGTGAGATGCAGGAAATGGAACACTCAGCATCACTGAGCCTTGGAGCCCACACGCACCGCTGTGACAAGGACTTCTCACGGAAGAAGCTCCTGCCTCCTTCCACCCCAATTCTCCTTTCTCCTGTTCACACGGAGTACCGCTTAAGGGATAGCATTGGCTGGAGAGAATGCAGAGAGAGCAGACTGGACTGGCCTCTGCACTCTCCTGTAAGCAAAGCGCCCACCCCCCACCCCCGAGCCCGTGGAGTTTTAAGTAGGGAAACATCTTCAGGTGGTTAGGACAGGGACTGTTCTCAAAACCCCTCCGGCCTTCCTCCTGTGATGTGGCATGTTTGCTTTGTAGATTTCAGGCATATTTGCTGACGTCAGCTACCCATCAAAGTTTAAAATAATAATAGTCAGAAGAAAAACAGCTCCTTTCTGCCAGGCAGTCACGCTCTGCCAACTTCTAGGTTCTGAGTTAATAAACGTCCAAGAGCCACCTCCCCTACAACCCTAGGGGGGAGAAAAAAAACACACAATAATTTAAAAACCACCAGGTCAGCCCACTGCTGCCAGCATAAACCATTCGGACAGGTGGCATCTGTCACGCTCTCATGAGGGTTTTACCTCTGCCTCAAAAGGAAGGCTGTCATTGCGCTTTGTGTTCACGGAATCAACCGACTGTCTGAGGACAGGGAGTTTCTTTGGGCCCCTTCCTCATCTGAAATGAGGCCGCAGGAACAAGTGTGGGGATGTTTTCTGCATCAGACGAATGTAAACAAGGACAACAACACCAGCAACATAATTATACCAGATAAAGTCCTTCAAAGAGTATCCATTAGGAAAAGCGCCTTTTCATTTTGATTTTACTTGGAAATCCGAGAAGAGTCACATGTGTTATAATGGCACAGCAGCATCCCTGTTGGGACACTGTGAAAAGGAAATGCCCCAGCGGTGACTTGTGGAGTTCAGGAAGACATGCTCCTGCTGGGGACACTCAGACAGCTGAGCTCTCAAGAGAAGAGACAGCGACACAATCCCAAGGCCTCTGAACTTATCTTTGCCTGTTGTTGTGGAAGTGGGAGCCAGGCCCTCGCTAGTTCAGTTGTACCTCGCTGGCAGCACACACACACACACACACACACACACACACACACACACACCATTGTTAACCTCCTCCAGACACGTTAAACCCATATTCCTCAGAAGGTCCTGGGCTCCACAGGGAAGCGGACCAGCAGGCTCCTTCCACAGGCCGGAGGGCTCACTTCGGCTGATAACTTTCAATAGAAACACCCGGAACAATTACACCTAGCACCCCACAGCACTGCCAGCTACAGCACACAATGTCACCCTTCTCTCTCGCCTGCCACAGGCAGAGGGACTGGCCAGGCAGGAGCAACTCAAGTTCATAGCTCACTTTCCTGTGCCTTTACCATGGCTCCCTGCTATGGTGAACCTATTTGTTTACCCCCAGTGGCCTATCAGATTGCTCTCTCCCCACCCCACCCCCTCCTTTGCAGGCCATTTGCCTCAAACCCTGATGTGGTGTTTGCACTTGAAGTGTACTGACACTTGCAGTTTGCTTGAACCAGAACCTGCTCTCCAACCGAAGTTACTGAAGTTGGATCTGGGTAAAATTCATGAAGGCATAGCTGACTCTAATCATAGAGCTGGACTAAACACCGTGCAAAGCTCTTTACCGTCAGGTTATAGTTGACACTAGAATGTTCGCTAAAACAGCCAAGTGGGCTGCGCCTCATCCTGCAACTTCCCTTTTCCCTGTGATTGAGTCAGTGGATAGGCCTCATGAACTAAGAGCCAGCGTGGTTGTCTTTGCAGAAACACAAACAGCCAGAGTACTTTTTTTTACCCTGGATAATGTGTGCCAGGATTCTATAATTCAAAATGGCTATGTTTGGGGTGGAGCTGAGGGGGCTGGGGGTGGGGGTGGGCTTTTAACACCTTGTGTCTAGTAGGGAGAAACACAGCATTAGATTTCCGTGCGGTTTGGTCTTTGCCAGAAAGAAAAGGCAAATGATTTAGCAGATGGGTAATCCCCAAACCTGAAGAAATGTAAACAGCCAGGGTTTTGGTGCCTATGGGTTTTATCAAAGATGTTAAGCAAGGCAGAGACCAACACTAGTGCGTCCTCTTTGGCTAGTTTTAACACGCTTCCAGTCACAATTAACATTCAAGGAATTTCCTTCTCACCCAAGAGTTTTCTTTCACCAGCACTTTAGGCCACAGACCATAGTTCTAGCTGTCGGCAGTCCTTCCCAGGCCAAGGAGTGCTTAAAACGTCCACAATGGTTTTCTCTTTTCTTGTTTTGAAAATGGGGGGACCTTGTCGATTTAAAATCAGGGAAGGGTTCTCACCTCTTTTTTTCCCTCTGAAGCTTAAGAAGTTAAGGGCTTCCTTGCCCAGGGCCCTCCTACACACTCCTCCTGAGTCAGAGGAGCATGCTGCCTGGCAGGTGTCCTCCCCACTCTTCAGACCCATCCGCGGGAACTCTGAGCTCACCCCCTCGGCCTCACTTCATGTCCCTGAGCAGGCCAGGCCTGTGCATGCTGCAAGCGGCTAGGCTCACTCCCTACTACTCCTACACAAGGGATTCGCACACAGGGGGTACCGAGTCCGAATCTTGGCTGTGCATGGAGCTCAGCCCAGTATCCGAGTCCTCATCGTTGCCGGGACAGCTCTTAGCCATTCCCCGGGCCTGGTCTACCCACATTTCTGCACAGGTCTGAGGCTGGGGTTCCCGCGAAGGTCCGCCAGAACCCAGAGCCCCATCATTCACCACAGTCTGCTCCAAAGTACGCAAAGTCTGAAGAAGGCCCTGCAGCTCGCGCTCCTTAATGTCCCTCTGCTGCTGGCTGTAATCCAAGTCAGCCTTGACCGCCTCCAGGTCCGTGCTGAGCCTCAGCCCGATGTAAAGGCTAGTGCTGAGCTGCGTCCTGACCCGCTCCTGCTCCAGCGACAGCTCGCCATCCGGACCGCCATCGGGCTCCGGGGGCTCCTCTCGAGCCGCCAGTTCCTCATTGCGCCGCCTCATCCACCGCTGGTTCAGCTCCTCCTGGATCTCGGTGGACAGGCGCTCCAGCAACTCCTCCTGTTGGGCGCGCTCCTCTTGCAGCCGCACCAGGTCGTCGCAGCGCTGGGCCAGCTCCTCGAGCGCGGCCGCCTGAGCCTCACTGTCCAGGGATGCCACTGCCTCCGTCCCCTTCTCCGCCAGCGTCGCCTCCTCGGGTTCCTCTCCAGGAGCCGGCCCGTCGAGATCGATGCCAGCCCCTACCAGGTAAGTATCCTGAACGTAGTTGACTCCGTGCCGCCGCATGCGGTCCAGGTGCACCTTGGCCTCGTAGCGGTCGATCTCACGGTCCAGCTCCCGGAGCCGCTGCACCTGTTGGCGGATAGTGTGATCCTGCGACAACACCAGATGCACCAGCGTCTCCATGCGCTCCACCGACGCGCTCTCCTGGGTCCTAGGCGGCGACGAACAGGACGAGGCGGTGGACGACGACGTGGACGAACAAGGCGACGGCGGCTGCTGCTGGCGCCTCCGGTTGAGCTTAGCCAGTTTGCGGAAGGCCTTGCGCACCACCCGCCGCTGCTTCTCCTGGGTCATGGCCAAGCTGGGCCGCGCCGGGGCTCCCCGGGCCAGGCAGGGGCGCTCGCGGCTGAGTACTACCCGCGCCTCAGCGCTGCGTGGCCCGGCGTTGGGCAGCGATGCCTCACTGCGCACCAGCACGAAGCGCACGTTCTCCTGCTCGTCGCCCCAGGCGGTCCAGAGGCGCAAGATTCGCGTCTTGTTGGGCAGGATGCGCTCAAAGCCGCGCCACTTTTCCACGATGCAATAGCAGTGCGGGGGCCCACATAGCATGCCCTGGGGCATCACGTCGTCGTCATCCTCGTCGTTTTCGTCCGGGGGCTCGGGCTGCTCCAACGGACTGGAGGGGTCCTCCGCCTTCCCCCGGCGCTGGCCTCGCCGCTGCCTGCGTCGCCGCCGGCAGCCGTCCTCCAAAAGCACGCGCACCACGTCTGAGCAGGTGGTGCGGCGGGAGAGGCCGGACACCAGCTTTTCCTCTTGGCAGATCCACACCGATATCTTCTTCTCCGAAGGATCCATGGTGCGACTGGGACGCGCACAAAGGACAGGGTCCGGCTAAGCGCTTACTGGGGCGGCAGGGCCAGCGAGGGTAACCTGGCAGCTCCCAACTGAAGGAGAATCCGCGACCCGGTCTCCGGCGTCACTAGCCTTTCTCTCCCGCTGCGCACTGAAATCAGGCGGCGGCTTCGGCAGCAGCGGCTGCTTTCGGCTGGGACGGCGGCGGGCTCTCCCGAAGCAGCGTGCCGTGGCTCGGGTTCCAGCGACTCTGGCTCTGCCCGCGGTGCCAGAGGCCTCCGGGTTTTGCTCCTCCCCACCTGGCTCCACCTCTTCCCGCCCCCAGCGCCCTGAACTGTGGCTGAGAGCACCGCAGGCGCGGCACCCAGACTCGCCCCTCCCAGCCCCGCCGCCGGATCTGCCCCTGGCTCCGGTTGCTGGCGTCGGGAGTCCAATTCTGAGTTTCCTCCACCCCGAGCAAAGGACTCCGGTACCTCCTTGACACAAGGCCTGGAGCCCGCGTCTCACCTGGCATCAGCTCTGTGCCCCTCTCTGATCTGTCTTGCCTCTCGTCGAAAGCTGGCTAGAAACATCTTAACCCGACTTACTTCTTTTTCAGCGCTCCCAGATGCCCGTGATCTTGCCTCTTCAGGGCAGCGCCCTCTGCATACCGCACTTTGCGCAGGCGGGGAAACTGAGGCACCCAGCAGTTTCTAGTGGAGACGTTGTGGTCCACTACCTGACCGGCTCAGGTTTGTGAGCGCTGTCTCTAAGTCTTCCAGTCCTCCTCGACTACAGTGGGGTCCGTGAGCAGATGTGCAGTGTTCTGACGGCGGTGCTCCATTCTGCATAGGTCAGAACTGTAGACCCTCACCTCCATTTCCCATAACCTTCTCGATTAAAAAAAAAAAAAACTTACAGAGGGAGTCTGGGGCCAGGCTTAAATTGATCACCAGTCCTGCTTTCAAAGGGGGAAGTATAGCAGTTCTTTTGACTGGGATTCTGCTGTTTTCTGCATCTAGATGCGCTCCGGAAATGCTAAGACAAGTGTCAGAAAACAAATCCAAAGCCACAATGCGGAGCTTCTTAAATCCTCTCAGTGCAAGGCTTGTTCTGGTCCTGGGAAGCACAGGTCTGACAGCTCCTTCCCCTGCCGCAAGACCCTGGGTGTCTCACTAGTTCTTGTAAAGTACTTTTGTTGATGAAATGATTCCCTCTTGGAACATTTGCTGAGTTCCCACTGTTCTCTATGGCCAATGCAAGGGATGTAATGATGAGTAAGTCTCCTGGCCTGCAAGGAGCTCACCGTAGCTCATTCCACCACCGGGTCATCTGGGTTCTGAGCAGGGAAGTCTCTGTGTATTGGGGGAGCATGCCTGGATTCTGCACAGCAGCACAGACCCCATCTGGGAGAGTCCGCAAAGGCTTCCCATCAGAGGTACCATCTGGGGCAGGACAAAAAAAGAACCATTGGAACTTTCCAAAGGACTAAGAGATGGCACAGGGCAGGCAGAAGGAATCAATGTGCAAACTAAAGAATCAAGGCAGTGTGACAGTCACCAGGCTATAAGGGGTTAAGTGACAGAAGAATCTGACAAGGATGAACTAACAGAAACCAGACCAGGAAGGGTCTGCAATGCCATGTGCATGCTTTTGAGTTTATCAGAGGCATGGTGCAGGTGCTGGGGTTACACGGGGTGCTTTGACTGCCTGTGACCTTAGGGGAAATATGTAATAGCTCTGCATCTCATCTGTAAAGCAGTGATAAGTTAAAAAGTAACTGCTATGAGGATTAAATAGCAGAGCCTGGTACGTCTATAGCAGAAGTTTTTTTATTAAAGGGTTAGAAACCTGGGAGGTATATGGGTTTTGTTTTCGTTTTTGTTTTTTGTTTTTTGTTTTTTGTTTTTAATTTGCTATAAAATGGGTTACCATGAAACTGGTAGCTGAAAGTAACACCCACACCTGATTTTACTTTTCTGAAGGTGATAGGTTGTTCTGGGCTTGAGTGCTCAGAGGGTCCTGCTAAAGGCAGGGCATTTCAGCTGGTTAAAGTTTGGGCTGGAGAGGGAAGTCACTTCAAAGCCATTCAGCTGTGCTTCCAGAAACTTCTGCACTTCCTCTGTAGCACTGGAGCCCCCATCTTCATGGTGGCCTTCGTCAGAACCTCTCTCAGTCTCTTACAGACTCTTCCCATGTGGCAGTGTCTGCCCCAGTTGAAGCACTAATGGCAGGGCAGAATCACCCAGTCCTTTTGGCATCTCATCATCCTGGCATCGTTCTTTGCTAGCAGCAAGAGAAAATTCTGCTTGTAAAAGGCTGGCTTCATCAGGCAGACCCACCTGGAGAAACTCTCTATATTAAGATCGACTGATTAGTCACTGCGCTGGCTAGATTTATGTCAACATGACACAAGATAAAGTCATCACAGAGGAGAGAACCTTGGTTGAGAAAATGCCTCCCTAACACTGGGCTGTAGGGAAGCATGCAGGACATTTTCTTAATTAGTTATTGGTGGGGGAGAACCCATCTCACTGTGGGTGGTTCCACCTCTGGATTGCTGGTCCTGGGTTCTATAAGAAAGCAGGCTGAGCAAGCCATGGGGAGCAAGCCAATAAACAGCACTCCTCCATGGCCTCTGCATCAGCTCCTGCCTCCAGGTTCCTGCCCTCCTTGAGTTCCTGCCCTTACTGTTTTTGATGATGAGCTTAATAGGGAATCATATATGTGAAATAAACCCTATCCTCCCCAAGTTGCTTTTGTCTTGGTGCCTCATCCCAACAATAGTCACCCTAAGACAGTCACCTGAACTACATCTGCACAACCTCTTTGATTGTATGATGTATCAGTCACCAGAGCAGTGACAGGAGTGGGAGTGGTGGAGCTCATGAGGCCAGTCTGGGATTGTCCCCACCAGGGAGCTTAGTGATAACATGGTCAGGTCTTCACTGCTGAACCATCACACTGGGCAGGGACCATAGGGCAGGGAGGGGTGCAGTGACAGGCTAGAAGGCCCTTGAGACTATCCCATTCATGAAAAGAAGAGACAGCAAGCTACGTTGCCTCTAGAGAAACGATTATGGTGATGTGTGCATGGTCTTTTAGCAGTGTTTCAGACTAGGGGTTCTAGAGTTCACCCCAACTACATTTGCACTGAGGATAAAGGAATAAAACAAACTCCCCTCCTCCGGTCCTCTCACTCAGCAGAAGCAGATATCAGGAGAAAACGGCTCCCACCCACCAAGCAGGCCATCGGTCCTGCAGTAGATATCAGCGGAGTACCTGCTAACTCGGCTTCACTCTGACACTGTCTACTCAGAGAGATCACAGGTTGAGAGCTCAGCCCCTCAGACTGCCTCCTACCTTTCCTCAGATGACAGCCACAAGCCCAGGCTTGAACTGGGGGTCAGATGGAGAGGTGCAAGGCAAAACATGGGAGGAGTGAGGGGCTTCCATGTCACCCTCCAGGAACCTCCGTGTATTCAGCTCTTCAAAGTTCTCTGACCTGATCGTCTGGGGGAGCCCTGCGGAAGTGTCATTAGATAGCCTTGATGGATGAAGGCATCAGCCTTTGATGGCCAACTTAACCTTCGACCTCTCTGCCCTCCCATGATGTTGAGGAATGGGAATGAGGGTTGCATCCCTCTGAGTCTGGCTGCCTCCTCTGGCAGCCATCCCTCCCACCCAGTATTCATTCTATAGGCTTTCCAAAAATATCATCTCATGGGTGCTTGAAAAGCTCCCAAAAAAAACAATAGCTTGTCTGCCGTTTTCATCACTCTGAAGCTGCTTTCAAGAATCAAGAACAAAAGAACAAATGTTTGACCTTCTTCCCCGCCCTCCCCCCAAAAAAAGCCATTCTTACTCGAAGTCATTTAGGAAATTACAAAAACTACAATGGCTCCAAGCCAGGAGCTCGTAAGCAAAAGAAATATGTGCAGTCACGAACTACCAAGTTCAGACCACATATAGGGTGGTGGTCCTTAAGAACAGAATGGAAGTGCCCGAAGGGTCTGTTGCCTAGGAACGCTGTAGCCATCCTCATGTCCCCACGCAGTCTGTGGGTCATGTAAACAATTCTGCCATGCCGGCCGCCAGTGCTATGAGAGCAAAACACAGACAGTTTTACTACTCAAGAATGGAAATCAACGACTGTGTTTGTTTTGCATTTATGGTTTGTGTTCTTGGTATACTGCACTCTTGGTTGTTATTCTAGAGTGAACTTGCACTTACACAAACACAGTTGGCTACAGAACAGTGCCCTGCCCTGTGCAGGAAGCAGCTCAGACATCTCCTGTTTACTGGATCACTCCACTGAAAGGCTTTCACTCACGCTTGATTTCATCTTGTGTTGCCTTGTCTCTCATGACCCTAGCAGCGATAGGGGTGTGTGTGTATGTGTGTGTGTGTGTGTGTGTGTGTGTGTGTGTGTGTGTGTGCTGGCTATACCATCTAGGTTTGTGTGAGTGTGCTCGGCGTATTTGCACAATGACAGACTCCCCGCTGCTGCATTTCTCAGAACTGTATGTCACGTGGACTAGAGGGAGGACTCGGTAGTCGGGAGTGCTAGCCCAGGACCAGAGTTCGATCCCCAGCATCCACCTGGCAGCTCAAACCCATCTGTTACTCTAATTCTGGGAAATTTAACCTCTTCTTCTGGCCTCTCTACACGTGGTACAAATAAATTTATGCAGATAAATATTTTATATATATATATATATATATATAAAATCAAATCTTTTTAAACCCTGTACACCGTATCACAATTGCCATAGGCTTTCTAAATCACAGCCTTCTCATCTGGGTAAAGAGCAATAGCAGAACCTTTACAGAGCTGACGTTACATGGAACAAGACAATGAATGGTATATAAAATGCCTACGAACAGGTTAACCATTTTCAACTTGATTGGGTTTGGAATCACCTGAAAGACACGCCTCTTGGCATATCTGTGAGGGTGCTGCCAATGAGTAACCAAGCAGAAAGACCCCTGAATCTGGAGAGCACCATCCCATGGACCAGGGTCCCAGAGCAAAAGGCACTTAACAAACACTAAATAAAACACAGCACAAGGAGGCGCACAAGCGGTACGCGCTGTTCTTAACAGAAACCATGGAAATACCCACCCATTAAGGGATGACTCCACAGACAAGACGTCGCCCCTAGCTCTCAAGGTTTGCAGCAATTAAACTGGTAAAGTAGATTTATTTGTCTAGGCAGCAATGAATCTCCAACATGCATTGACAGTATCAAAAGGATTCACGTGAGAGGATCTTGCTTGTATTATAAAAGACCCACACGGAACACATGCATATACATAAAATCGCTCTCTGCGTTTTCCAGGAGTCCAGACACCTGTATGGACATGCATAGAGGATGGTCTTAACAAACACCCAGCTCAAGCAATGGCTCCTTGCACAGGGACTGTCAGATTTAGCCTCGTGTTGTAATGATTTTATATGGAACTAGTCATCTATTAACTATGCAGTCACAATAAATAACTTTTGCTTGCTTGCTTGCTTGCTTGCTTGCTTGCTTGCTTGCTTGCTTGCTTGAAGCAGGGTCTCACTCTGTAGCCCAGGCTGACCTTGAACTCAGATAGTCCCCTTGTCTCAGCCTCCCAAGTGCTGGTACCTCAGGCTTGTGTCTGCCACACCCATCTCTGGGATGTGTCGCTGTGAAAAGTGAAGATGCTAGAATTGGAATCACTACTCACTGCCGGTTCTCCTTTAGCCCCCTCCCTTACCTGCCTATGTCTCCCTTCTGTGGTCCCAGCCACTACACAGCTGTGTCTGTTCCCTTCTCCCTGTAGGGCATCTTGGAGCTCCCAACTTTGTGCTGATGCTTGCGAGAATAATCAAGCTCCTGGCAAAGGGATGGAAGGCAGCAGGAGACTCGCAGTGTGTGCTTTACACCCGCTTCTCTCTCCAGGGACACTTCCCAAACACAACTCAGTTCTCAGAGAGGTGACAGAGCCCTTTGTTAACTTCCCACACTGGCTCTCAAACGTGGCCGGTCACTCGAGCCTGTGGGAGTATGTTCCCTCGCTTACCTTCCTGAGACCTGTGAGAGGTAAAACCTAGCTCTCTTAACATGAGAAAACTGGGGCCGGAGGGAAGGGGTTGGCTAGTTTCCCAGCTCACACAGCTCTGCGGAAGTTGGCATCTCTCTGGAACTACCCTTCCAATCTGTCAGTTAAGGTTCACAGCAGTCCGGAACACCCCCAAACAGAAACTTCCGCCTTTAATTAAGTTGAGCCACACAAAAACGTGACTGGATTTTATTGACTGAATTGGTTTCTTGTAATGATTAGCTCCAGAAAAATATGTGGCAACCTGTTTACAGAAACTTACGACTTCGCTCAGGCTTGGTGGAGGAAGGTGAGCACCACCACTCCTGTATACCTTGCGAACCCCTTCTCTGACTAAGCTAAGCCCAGGACTGGAGCACAAAAGCTGGGCTGTCATCACAGGGACATGGCTTCTTAAATCGAGGGGAAACCTGGCATGGTGGTTTTTTATTTTTGTTGTTGTTGTTGTTTTGTTTTTGTTTTTCGAGACAGGGTTTCTCTGTGGCTTTTGGTTCCTGTCCTGGAACTAGCTCTGTAGACCAGGCTGGTCTCGAACTCACCTCGAACTCACAGAGATCCGTCTGCCTCTGCCTCCCGAGTGCTGGGATTAAAGGCGTGCGCCACCATCGCCCGGCTTGGTGTTTTTTTTAAAATGCAGTTTACTGGGCTCCAGTAAATGGGAATTCCTGTTCTTTGGTGATTATTTTTTATAGTCAAGATTAATTTTAAAATTTATTATCATTATGTGTGTGTGTGTGCATGCAAGAGGGGGGAATATTGTGTGAGTGTGGGCACACACATGACACAGCACTCACATGGAGATCAGAAGGCAATTTTCGGAAGGCCGTTCTTGCCTTCTACCATGGGTTCCAGGGATCAAACTCAGATAGTCAGGCTTGTGTGTTTCTGCCTCATAAGCCTCCATCTGGCCTCCCCTGATAATGCTTATGTATACTAAACTTGGACATAGATAAGAGCTGGATTTAAGAACTCCTGAGGAGAATGTATTTTGGTCATTTTGGCCCATAGATGACAATGATATGCATCTGTACCCAAGAAGATGGCAGGGGCTTATGACAGGTTAGAAAGAGATGCCTCAGGCAGGATGGAAGGAACTGCTTATCCAATTCTCCTCTTGGGCCTGGAGAATGGTTGGTGGGAGTTTGGGCTGGGAGCTGAGAACATAGCAATGTTCAGGTAAGGGCCTCTAAAGCAACAATCACTCCAGGTATGGGAAAGGGATTCTGCAAGTGAGTAAGCAAGCTTAGTCTTTGTTCCAAGCAAGGGAGCCTGGCGTCTGTTTGGCAGCCGTCTTTCTGGGAATTTACAGTACATACAGAGCAGAGCTGTCACCTATTCAATGCTGATGACATCACTTTTGAGGGCCATGTCAAAAGGGGTTTTGTCTGATTAATTTTCATTATCTGTTGGTACCCAGGAATGAAAGGTGATACTGTTAATGAGTGTGTGAACGAGACAGTGTCTTCAGTGCCACATCTGAGCCCGTC